CTTGTGACCTCACTTTGCTTCCAGAGTGTCATTGGCATCACAGGGGGGCACACAGGAAAGTGGGACCAATGATTTGCTTGGTGTGTTCAGTACCTGAGTGGGGAGCAGGAGAAAAAGAGGAAGATAATTCACATTTATAGGATGTGTCTCTGCTGGGCCAGGTTTTCACCTCCCAGCTGACCAGTGACTTTCTGAAGTGTTACTACTCTTATTTAAAAAAAGAAAAACCTGAGGTTGAGAGAGGTTGATAACCTGTCCCAAGGCCACACAGCTGGCACTAACTGGTTGGCTCTGGAACTCAGTTCATCTGGTTTCCAAAGCCCTCCCCTGTCACCAGCTCTGCCTTCCTTGCCACAGACCAATAGGTGAGATTTGAGCTCTGACTCCTTCCCTGGGATGTGTGGCCTTAGGCAAGTCATTTAACCTCAATGCACCCATTTCAGCAGCTACAAAAGGCAATGATGACTTTGTCCCTTGCGGAGTGGTGGTGAGTCTCAAGTGAAATAATGTGTGTGGAGAGATCTGAATATTGTAAAAATGTTCCTTGCAAGCATGAAATTGCTATTCTAGTTTTGAAAGCATGACTTTTATTCAGTGACTCCTTTGCTCAAGAGCCTGTACTGAGTCACACTTTCCTGACCCAGTGGGGATTCTGGCCTCCCAGCTCTATCTGCTCTTTGTGAGCTCATTGTCACTCCTCCAGTTAGCCTCCACCCGTTCTGTGCTCTTGTTTTTTTTTTTTTTTTTTAAAGGTTTATTTAATATTTATTTATACAAGCACTGGGTACAGTCAGAAGCGCGGGAGGGTGAGAGAATTCACCAGAGCCAGAGCAGGGAGCAGAGCAGGCAGAAGGACCGAAGTACACTGCTGAGGGGAGCAGCGGGCGGCAGGAGAGGTCTGCGCGCCATGTGGGACCCTCCTCTGGTGGCTGGGGAGCAGCCGGGGATCTAACCGGTGCCGCAGAGGCCGCGGGCAGCTTCGCAACCCAGCGCTCAACCACTGCGCCACCGGGGAGGCCCCGTTCTGTGCTCTTGTAATGACACATTCACTACCTGAAATGTCCTTCCCACCAATATGACTCTCTTCCCATGCACATACAGACCGCTTCCTCCCGGAAGCCCTCCCTCACAGCCTTACCAGGTCATGTCATGTAGCTTTCATGTGCTGCTTGACTACTGGGTGCAAGAGCTCTCTAGTTGTAGCATAGGCTGGAGCATTTCTCTCCAGGAGGTTTTTGAGTCTTGTGTGTTGAGATCATGTTCCTCTGTACTTGAATATGCTCTCTGTACCTTGTATAGTAGTTAGCATCCATGAGCTAAACACTGAGAAAATGTTTATTGGAGGAACGATGCAGTTTGGACCCAAGACTTTTATTTTCTCATGTTGTGGCAAGTCATGGGAAGGTCTAGGAGCTTCCTCAATCAGCCTCCTGCAGCTGCAGCTCCTGTCTGAGCTTACATTGTGCCCGGCTTGAACCTGTGCTGCCTCCTTTCTGGCCTGAACCTTCATGCCCTTTTCACTGCTGGCCAGACCCCACTGTCCTTGCAGGTCCCGCTTACATTCTCTACGCTGCATTCTATTTACATACCAAGTCTGGGCACTGGGCTATGTCCTGGTTTGTCTTGTAGAACCTAGAGATAAGAGCGTAGTCTTGATGTTCCTTGGTCATGTCGTCTGTGCCCAGTACTTAGACGTTGCCAGCACAGGTTTGGACTGCTTCTCACTGTCATTGGAAGCCTCTGGCCAATGCTGTGCTGGAGACAAGGCTTTGGGACAATGAGTATGCATGTAAGTATAACTGAATAAGTACAGGATTGCCCTCCCTCAAGATGCCTTGCTGCCCACATCCAGTCTGGGTTAGCCAGACACCCATGCCACTGTAGCAAGACAGCAATGTGCGTAGGGCTCTGTCATTTCATCAGCAGCATTGTGGGGGTGGGTGGGTGGGCACGAAGTGACAACAGCAGGAAATGAGGGGGAGAGGGTCTGGTGATCAGGTCTCTCAATTATTTCTTTATGTGAACCAGTTTGGGCTGGTTGAACACCTGGAGCTCTTTAGTTTTGGGAGTAATAGGTCCCCAAAGAGATGCTATTGGCCATCCTTCAATTTGGGTGGGTGGGGACCTGAGTGATTAATGTGCATGTAAAAGCCAGATATGACTTTATTTTCCAAGCTGGTGGAGCAGGTTATGCCAATTATATTAGTTTTAAAAAGGAAGCAAAACAAAAACAATATGTATGGCCTGTGATAGTGCACATGTATGTAGCATGTGGGGGGAGGTGGCTGAAATCCCAAATCAATAAGGTATTTGAGTTGTTTCCATCAAGTATTTAAGGCTGTTACTTTAAGTGAACACAGGGCAGTTGGCTGTGTTTGCTGTAATCGGCTTTGGACTCATTGGGCTTATTGATCTCGCCAATGCTATTTGGTGTTCTTGAAACATCAGCGGAAGTCTTTCTCCCCTCCTCTTCTCCTGCATTCCCAAAGCTTCTTTCTGAAAAGCAAAAACACTGCTGGCTGGGCTGCAAGTTTCCACTCCATATCATCATCATTTGTTCTGAAAGCAAAATGCAATGTTCTGAGACTCGCTACACTTCTGTGTGTGTGTGTGTGTGTGTGTATGTGTGTGCATGAGCGCGCGTGCGTGCGTGTGAGCATGTATGGTTGGGTGAGCACATGAGTGCGCACACACACACACGCGCACACACACACACACAGCCTCTGTGTTCAACAATGTGCTTTTTAATGTAGGAAAGAAGCAGAGACAACAGGTCCACTATAGTCCTGCAATATCCTAGGGCAGGGAAGTCACTCCCAATCCAGCAAGGGACATTGTCCCCATTGAGGCTGTTCTCAGCTCTGGGGGACTCACAATCCCAACCTTTGTGACCACCAAAGAATTGTGGTCTGTACCCATCCCCTCAGACTCCACCCTGCTGGCCCCCAAAGGTCACAGGCAGTGATGTCACGGAAAAACATGTGGTCAGAGAGCCTGTCCTTGGAAGAAGCCCTGGAAACTGGTGGAGTTATCCCTTCCCCCATCTGCCTAACTCATAGGCACCAGCTTGGAGAATTCTTCAGCCTAGAGGTGGAATTGGAGGAAGGATTTCGAGCTGGCCTGGTGGTCAGAGTGGGAGTGTACACTGAGAGGGAGTGGCATTCTGTCGTCTTCTTTACTTTCCACTAGAGTGTGCTCCCTAGGTGAAGGATTGAGCAAGTCAGACCTGATCCCCTTGCTCAGACCTCTGGCCTCTCATTGATCAACTGGATTTCACTCTACTTCTTAGGATTCATTTGCCTCTTTGATTACTTTCTCTCTCCCCCCTTCACCAAAAGCTGTACCAGCATGCATAGATGTACCTACATATGTGTGTACACACACACACACAGCCCCCATTGGCTTAACCCTCTTTGTAAGAGTTAGCTTTGTCAGATCTGCAGGGGAGCAGAACCAGAAGTATTGTTAGCTGAAGTTTACATACATCTCCTTGAAAAATGTGGATGCAGCACTCCCGGGTGCTCTGGGGGAAATATAGAGAGAATCCCAAAGTAAACACCACAATTTATATTAAAGTTGCAATTGCAGAACATCGCCTTTGTGTCCTAAGTATTTTTCACATGTTATTTCTTAGGGTATTCTTTTTTTGAAAAAAGATTCATTTATTTATGCATAGAAGAACTGGGGTTTAGGCCAGAGGTCCAGAAGGGTGAGAGGATTCACCAGAGACAGCGTGGGGAGCAGAACAGGCGAATTTACTGAAATATACTGCAGAGGGGAGCAGCTGGTGAGAAAGGAGAGGTCTGCTGTGCCATGTGATTAGCTCCCTGGCCAGGGATGTGACTCAGGCCCCAGCAATGATAGCACTGAGATCTGAGGCCACTACCAGGGAGGCCCTCTTAGGGTATTTTTGATCATTCCAGGAATGAGTGGTTTTGGTTTTGGTTGCCACTTAGGTGGCAGATTTGAAACCCCATCCTTAAGTACAAATCTGAGACTCTCTATACTATCCCATTATTTAAAGACTAACAGATTACTAGGGTTATTTACACTATGAACAGAAGATATGTGCAAATATGTGTGTGTGTGTATGAATGTGGGGTAGACAGCTTAAGGAACTTGGAACCCTGGTTATAGGAGACGTGGCCACGCCCATCACATTTTCTTTTGGCACCATCCTCTCTGTTGCCTGTCTTCCCTTCCCTTTTTGGGATCAGGACCTTTCAACTTAGCATTCCTTGAGGCTTCCATTGTGGATCCCAACGACCCCACTGCTGTCAGGAACAACTGCTACTCCCAGTCTGGCCCCAGTCCTGTCCTCTGGCTGCTCCGCTCTGCTTCCTGCCTGCCCATACTTCTCTGAGTTGCTTACCATGCCTCAAATATTCATGCACTTATCATATCTCAAACATCCATGTTACTTACCATGCCTCAGTCTATGTACTTTCCACTCCCAACCTCTGCATTGGCTGTGCCCTCTGCCTGATACCCCAGCCACCCTTTTTGGTGACCTTCTGTGATCTTCTGAGTCTCAACCTGTGACACTTTTCCTAGTACCCACAGCCACTGCTTTCCATAGCACTTCTTTACATGCATAACCTTGCATTCCTGGTGTGATCAGAGCTGTGCTTTAGAAAGATCATGGTATTGGCGGTGTGGGGGTTGTTGGGGTGAATCTGTTGCAGTTTTTTCAGGGAGAGGAACTAGGGAAGGAGATGGAAAGGGAGTTCTGGTTGGGGTGGGGAGAGGTTCTAGAGGTTGAGATAACTAGGCACAGAGCTGAGTTTGACCCCAGGGTCAGATTCGGGGAGACCAGAGCAAGATAGGTTTCAGGAAAGTTCTGTCACTGCAGGGGACTTTCCTTGAAGACCTTTAGAAGACCCTTTCAACCCTTTAACCGATTTCATTAGAGCTGTGGCATTCTTCGGGTTGCTCAGAAGGCAGAAACTCTAAAAATAGAAAGCATTATTATTACCGATTGAATTTCTTTCCACCTACAGAATTTTCTGAAAGTAATAAGAAGAGGAAGCCTGAGTCTGTGCTGAAGTGTTCAGGGAGCAGAGATGTATTGAGACGTGATGAAAGAAGAGGGAGGCGTAGAGAATATGAGGCCAGGCAGGTAAGGAGGGGGGTTCAGGGTAAAAAAAAACAACACTGATTGAGCACACTGATAGGTAAAGGGAGATCTCTTTGTGCACCAACTTTCCAAGGGAAATGCACATGGATATTAAAACAATAGAGTTCCTATTGAGGCCATTGCTTCAGCTATGGGAGGACAGGGGCCAGGGACAGAGTGGATTTGCACCTGTCTCTGACTCTGGACAATGCATGAAAGCTCCCCTTAACTCTAGCAGGTGTACAGTCTCTAATCCCTTCACTCTTCAACCTTCCCTCCCCCACAGCCCCCATGTTTAATTTCATGCTCGGAAAAATCCATCTGCAAACTGATTATAACCTTGCAGTTTTGGGGGTGGCTAAGGGGCTAAATAGGCATATGAGGGGACAAATCCAAAGAAGAAGAGATGGAAAACATTCAGTTTTATATTTGCAAAGTTTTGTTTGTTTTTAAGATGATTCCCTCAAACCGAATCAGCATCTGGTCTGCTAAACCAGGATTCATCCTTGTACCTCTGTCTTAGAACGATTCAGGATGACTTTAATGTCTCTTTTTTTGTGACACAAACTAGACTAAGTCACTTTCCAAGCGTTTCCCATACATTGTCCTTTCTGGGGAATGACTTAGCTCTTGGTCCAGGTGCCTTCCTTCTTTGTCTCAGCAGAAGTATCAGAATAAGCCTGAAATGCATCAGGGCTTGTAGTTGGATTTGAAACCTGGCTCTGCTAATAACTAGCTTGGGTTACTGACTCAGATGGAATTATTCCAAATTGTCTTTTGATTATAGGTAAATGAATAACTGCATTTTCATGTGGCTTTACATAGTAATTCCTCCACACTTCCTCTTTTGCAAAATTGAGATAATAATGGGTATAGAATCTCAGTTTTGCAAGAGGAAGAGTTCTGGAGATGAGTTGCACAATAACTTGAATGTGCTTAACACTGCTGAACTGTACACTTAAAAGTAGTTCTGATGGTAAATTTTATTGTGTTTTTCTCTTTTACTGCAATTAAAATTTTTTGAAAAAAAAAAAAAAAAGGATAATAATATCTGTCTCATCTGATGATGTTGAAGACCTAATAAGATGATGTCCCCAGTCTCCAGCACATGGTGAACACTCAGCTCAGTAAATGGTAATTTTTATTAGTGGTATAAGTTTTCATAGTTTGCTGCTCCTCAAATTAGCATTTTCTTTCCCGGGGCTAAAATCAAGTTGTCCCTCTAATAGTTTGGGAAGGAAAAGTTACAGGTAATCATCATCGAATGGACTTTCCAAAACACTCATTATTGGTGTTGGGCTCTCCTTTAAGCTGAATCTGCATCTCTTTATAATAATAACAACATGCATCTGAACACAAATGGACTCATTCAAGCCACACAAAGCCCTAGGAGATGGGCACTATCATTTTCATCACTCGCCCAATGTCCCACAGCTGGTAAGTTACAATGTACATAAGGTTGTTTGTTCCAGAATCTACAGGCTGACCATGGAGTCAGGTGACTTTCACACAGCCTGACACTCTTTAGAGCCTCTTGCATAGAATAATTTCAAAGGATTGGCTCCTCTTTAGTTTGTGGCTTCCTAAACCCTTTACTTTCCTGTAATGCCATCCATCCATTCATCCATTCATCCATCCATCCATCCATCCATCCATCCATCCATCCATCCATCCATCCATCCATCCATCCAGATGTTTGTGTTTTAGATGTAAGAAGAGCTTGCTCATGTTGAGAAAACCCAAAGTTGCCCAGAGGTCCCTTCTTTCTGATGACACTTCTGTCCAAATATGTACCCCCTGTTACAAGGTTGGCCCCCTTCACCCAGTTCTAATTATTTAGTATTGCATGTTCTTCAATCACAAAAGTAAAAATGCACAGAGAAATAAGTCCTTGAGCAAAATCCAATTTAAAATAATATAAACATATATTTTAAAATATAAATATGTAAAATGCCTGTATTCAGAAACACATTCAAGTTATTGTGCAACTCATCTCCAGAGCTCTATGCCTATGTTCAATTATTTGTTTATGTTGAAAGTTCTGGTGGTTCTAAACATCAACTACCTAAGCATAAATTTAAATGTGTTTTTGCTTGTTTTTCCTATTTTAAATAGTATTTATTGATTTTTGGAAGACTGTAACTCACTTGTAGTTACTGCATCCCTTCTCTAATTTTGCTGTATCATTCTTTGTAATTTCAAATAATATTTGAAATATATATATTTAAAAGATTAATTCTCTCAATATCTCCACTTCAGACAGTATTTCCTGATTCAGTACTATAAAATAAGAAACTCATCACTCCCCCCCCCCATTCTAACTTCTCCTAGCTGTTCTATCACATTTAAAATATTTACATTCTGTTCTGTAACTACCATGAGGTCCCCTGTGTTTTGTTTATATGCTGATTTCAATGAATGTTTACATTATGATTATGTAGTTATTATCCTCAGAACCAAGTAGTGTGACTAGACCATAAAAGAGATGCAATTCTCTTGTCAAAGAGAATTTAAACAAGGAGGGCATTAGACTAAGGTGGTCTAATGCCTTGGGTGCCTATAGAAGCAAACAAAACCTAGTCAGAGTCACTTCCTATAAAGGCACTTGTATCTGAGATAGTGAAATTTAAGAACAACTGATCATGGACAGCTAACTAGGCTTTTCCAAATAAGGCAACTGCTTAAGCTTTAGCCAGTCAAATAATGTCCTGGCTGTTTTTGCATCAGCTCCATAAAAGCCTTTCCCCTAATTCCTGCCCAGGCTAGGAACCCCTAACCACTTTGGGTTTGGCAGTGACTGATTGGAATCAATGCTTGCTCAAATAAACTAAAAATATAACATGCCTTGGTTTGTCTTCTTAACACTGAATTGATAAAACTTCTTTGAAAAGAGAATGTTTCCAAGAATCAACTGTCCAAGAGGGATTCTGTTTTTATCCATTCTGTCTTCAGAATTACTATGCATTTTCATGTATTTGGACTGTGATTTGCTTGTACAACTCTTTGCTAAATATATTTTCCCTGGTATTCCTAACTACATCTCTTTCTTTTTGTTCACAAAACAATGCTAGCCTTTGGCCTTATCAATTAGATCTTCCAACTTCTAATTCCAATTACTTGTTAAGGGAAATTTCTGTGACTCTTGACAGTTTTCTTAAAGAGCCCTGTCTGCCTTTTCTAATTTGTTAATTTCTAGGAACTCAAGAACTGTCACTCTGGGATTCACTTCACTTCCTTCCCTTCTGGTTCATTTCTACTCTTTTTGGGGCCTGTGTTCTCCTCTCAGATTTCTGTTTTGCTTGGCTGGAGTATGCTTTCAAATGATCATTACAGAAGATTGCATTGGAGGTCAACGTTCTGGGTCTTTCCCTGGACCAAATCATTGCTACTCCTACTCCTTTGATTGATTTGTCTAGAATTCCAGGTTTAAAATGATTTTTCCTCTCTGCTGTGACCTCTAGCATGCAGTTTTAGTGATGGAAATCTGATATGTATTGCTTTTTTAGGTAAACAAAATAATTTTATTTTTTTCTAAACTTTTAGAGTTTTTTATCCTTAACATTTCAAGCTTTAACTGGGCTATGTTTTGGGTGGTGGATCTAGTTTGTGTTTTTTTGTTTTGTTTTCTTTCTTTTATTATTTTCTCCCTTCCATTCTGTATTCATTAAATGGATGGTCCACTTATTTATTTACTCAATTACTGGCAATTTGTCCCTTTTGACCCTCTTCATTCATTTTACCTACTCCTTACCCCTGCATCTAACAACTGCCAGTCCTCTGTATCTGTGAATTTGGTTCCTTCCTTTTTTTAAGATTTCATATATAAGTGAGATCATATGATATCTGTCTGTGTTTGTCTTTCTCTGTCTCTGCTCTTGAAGTCCATCCATATTGTTGCAAATGGCAAGATTTCATTCTTATTTATGACTAAATAATATTTCATTTATTATATATATGCCATATTTTCTTTATCTGTTCTTCCGATGATGAACACATAGGATGTTTCCATACCTTGGCTATTTTAAATAATGCTGACATGTACATGGGAGTGCACATATCTTTTTGAATTAGTGTTTTTGTTTCTTTAGGGGAAAAACCCAGAAGTGGACTAATTTGATCATCTGGTGGTTCTACTTTAAATTTTGTGAGGAACTTCCATACTGTTTCCTAGAGTGAAACATACCATATTCCACTAATTTTATATTGTCACCAACAGTTCATAAGGGTTCCCTTTTCTTCACATCCTTGCCAACACTCGCTATCTCTTATCTTTTTTATGATAGCTATTCTAACAGGTGGGAAGTAATGTTTCATTTTAGCTTTGGCTTGTATCTTGCAGATGAAGGTGCTGAATGTTCTACTTGGAAAATTAATTTTCAAGTTGAACTGTCCTTTGAGATAAGAACAGCTGTACACCTGTCTTTTTACTGAGCACCTAGTATGCATGCCAGGTATTTTCATATCTTTTCACAATTCTCATTTTCACAAATCTCTCATATTTACAACTACCACTCATACTTCATGGATGAGAGTATGAAAGTTCAACGACAGTAAATATATTTCTGGAGGTCTTGTGTATTTTAATTAGTAGAGTTAGGATTTCCATCTAAGTCTTCTGATTTCACAGGACTCACACTTCACTCTGTAAAGGCATATGGAACATCAGTGGGATAGAAGAGGATGGCAATGGGCTTTAATGATCCAAGAATCTTGATGGTGTGTGTTTTCAGTCACTTTGGAGGGACATGAAAAACAGATGGTAATTAAATGATTGCCAGGAGGATGAGGGAGTGGGGAGGGGGAGGGGCAGCTGAAGAGATTGATTCATTAACGGGAGGAGATGGTCAATGTAATTCAGGTGCATAGGCCTTTGGGGACGGTGTCAAAGGGTTGTTCATAAAAAGTGGGTTTCTGATTCCAATCTTTTGGGTTTTTTTAGGGGGGAGGTAAAGATACCAGCATTTCTTTGTTTGTCATTCCTCAACTGCTTGCCT